CCTCGCCCTCGCCCCCTTTCTCTCTCGCCCTCTCGCCCGCTTTCTCTCTCGCCCACTTTCCTTCACCCTCCAAGCTGTGACCATTGTCTCGCTACTCACACCATTCCGTGTCTCCATTATCTCCTCTCCCCTTTCCCCATCCCTCTCCTCCTGCCTTGTACTTCCGCAGGTTTCCGTACGAAGCTGAGGAGGAGGTACGGCCTGCCAGCATCACCGTGCGGCGACTGCTTGATGCACTGGTGCTGCCCCTGCTGCGCCATCTCTCAGGAATACCGCGAGCTCAAGAACCGCGGCTGGGACCCGTCCCTGGGTGAGTTGCCTTATGTCCTCTCACACACATGCGGCATTCTTGTGAAATTCCAAGGAACGTGTAGCACAAGGGTGCGTCGTGCACTGGTGCTGCGCCTGCTGCGCCATCTCCCAGAAGCACCGTGAGCTGAAGAACCATGGCTGGGACCCATCACTTGGTGAGTCCCTGTGATAAGTTTTGCCTGTCAACACACAGATTTCCTCGGGCTTGTATCTGGGTAAGTGCATTGGTTCTTGCACGCATGGTTTCTTCTTTTTCAGATTACATGCTTTCATTTTTTTGACTTTGTCGATTAGGGAGGAGAAATGAACCCCCTTTTCCATTCCAAACCACATAGACTGCTAGAAAGGCGACCTTGCCAGCAGCCCTCCCCACCAGCCAACTGACTGGTGGTGATTGATTTCTCAAGTCCCTGTGCGGGTTTTGGGGATTTTATTATTATGCAGGTTACGAGAAAAACAAGAACAAGAATCCGCCTCCCCAGCAGTTTATGAGTTAATTTTCAATAAGGTTGCCGCTGTTGTGTGCCACTAGATTGAGTTCATGTTGTAGCGCACTCAATTTGTGACAGCACTCTTCGTCACCACCACTTCGTTGGTCTGTCATATATTATAAATTTATTACCTTGTGCAGTGGTTTTTATGCTATCAGCATGCATTGTATAACACTGCCTACACATCTTCACCTACGCGTCCTATCCAGGGCTGACGTTTCATTTTAAGCTTCCCTGATTCCGGGGAAAATTTTCCCCCTCTATTATGGGTGCACATTTTCCAGAAAAGCAGTACCCTGATTGCTCAGGGTTGTTAAGTAGTTAACACTGATTGTTCAGGGTCGAGAACTGAACATCAGAGTAGTAACGCGCGCTTTGTTACCGGGGAAAATATCCCCACTCTCCATAAAGTCTCGAAGTTTCGATCAGAACGAAGTTTCGAAGAAACTTCGTCTCGATAAAGCGGGAAGGGGGGGGATTACGCACATGTGGGGGGATCACTGCAATCAATCCAAGGCGGGGTCATCGGAAGGAAACTTTCGAGAAACTTCCTCTCGATAAGTCGGGGAAAATATCCCCACTCTCCATAAAGTCTCGAAGTTTCGATCAGTACGAAGTTTCGAAGAAACTTCGTCTCGATAAAGCGGGAAGGGGGGGGATTACGCACATGTGGGGGGATCACTGCGATCAATCCAAGGCGGGGTCATCGGAAGAAAACTTCCGAGAAACTTCCTCTCGATAAGTCAGGGTCCACACAGTCGATACTCTGTTAAGTCAGGGTCCACTAACAGCCTAGTCTGTTACACTGTACTCAAAATCAGGGATAGCTAAACTATTACTCTGATTGGATCAGGGCTGGAAATTCAATAACTCTGAAATTTCAGTCTCCACGAAGTGGAAAGCCTGAAATCACCCTAAAATCAGGGTAATTACCCTGATAAAATCAGCCCTGGTCCTATCTCTTCCCGAATCGGCTAATAACAGCAGGAGCCAATCTTTACCGGGAAAATATGCCATTCGTAACCATCATGGGACTCTATAACATATTTGGTAAAAAAATAAAGGGTACGGTCACTGCAAAGGGTGTTTTCACGCGACTGATAAAACGTTTCACGTAATCAGTCACTATCAAGTGGTAAAAAAAACGCGAATGGTCATAGATGAAACTCCTGCCAACAAAACAAAATGAAACCCCAAAAGAACCTGGATGCATTTTCGGATGAATCAACCCTAAACACGTAACTCGCCAGGTGTTTAGGGTTGATCCGTTCCCAAACCGCATCCGATTCCGATTGGGTTTTAGTTTTTTTATAAGTTAGCAGATTGGTTGGGTGCGAGCGGAAATTTTGTTGAGTTTCAAGTTTTTTTGGTGGGAGTTACATGTGTGACCATTCGCGTGATTTTTTTCCTGTTGTTAGTGACTGAATCCGTGACCCCACTTACCAAACCCGTCAGAAAACCCGATACAGTGACCGTACGCGGTTTTTTTTTACCATTCACGTTACCGAGTCCCAAGTTGGTTACTTATGGCATATTTTCCCTTTACCTTCGCTCACTCGATCGCCGTTCATGTTAGCCATTCATCTCAATCTCAAAGCTGTTCATCTCGCCTGCCCGAACGGAAAAGACGGCGATGTGTCTGTTATTGAAGTCTAGTCTATCTGTAGCCAGAACAAGCGTACGCACTGGCGACAGTGTTTGGATTGTATGGGCTAAATATATATGTAAAAGATTGGGGCGGCGGGCAATAGATGACCTGACCACGAGGGACGTGTTGTGTTTGCCGCTGCGCCAGCTACTGCCTGGGTTATCCGTCTCACGAGACCAGCCCAATATCCCCTTCATCCCCTTCCTACCACTTTCCGAATCGGCTAATCGAAGCAGGAGCCAATCTCAATCAACGCTCACTCGATCGAAAATGCTCAGCCGTTCATCTCGCCTGCCCGAACGTAAAAGACGGCAATCCCGACTCGGTAATTCCTGCCCTGCCCTAACCTGGTCGCTGACCTACTTGGTCTGTATCACCCCACAGCATTTTCCGAGCTTTCTTGCCCAGCATAAACATCAGCCAAGCTTGCCTCGACATCACAAATATATCCTCCCAGCTGTTTCCCCCCATATCGTACCACTGGCACTGTCATCGCGTTCTTTCTCCCTGTCTCGTCTCCAATTTCATACTCTTCAGAGAGAAGCTTTCTCGATTGGGCAAATTAACGCGAAATGGCCGATGGAAATTATCCCCCGACTGGACAATGGACTACTGGCCGGTGTGACTGCTTCAAGGACATAGGCACATGATTTAGTGTCGTAGAACTAAACGCATTGTACTACTGAGCGTTTAAACACTGCTTTTGCGAAATGCGATGATGGCGTTATTGCCCCAGTGACATATTTGAGAAAACCTCACGCTCCCCTCGCTCTCTCCAATGCAGGCTGTTGCGTTTACTGGGTTCCCTGTCTCGCCATCGGCCGAATCGCTGAGCTTGTTGACCAGGGAGGGACTAGTAAGTTGGCAACGATGGTACTATGTAGAGTATGCGAACAGTGAGTGCAGCTGTATCGCATGTTCGACAAAGCTTTTCTTGAATGTACATCCACTAGTTAGGCTGTTTGTTGCCCAGGCTTCTCTGAAGGCTGCAGAAGCGACTCAACGGGCGTCGCTTCGCTGTCCTGATCTCAGCTTTGCAAACCAGCGCCAAACCATGAACGCCGGTTCATGGTCGCCGTTCGGACAGCCACAACAGTTTTTGTTTTTGCTTTTGTTTTTGTTTTTGTTGTTGTTTTTGTTTTTGTGTTTGTTTATGTTTTTTTTTTTTTCATTTATATGAGAACGGCGTCCGACCTACGCCTTCGATCATTTCGCGAATAATTCAGTTTCCACCATTTTTCCTGTGCGATACCACAGGTGCATGCACAGTGTGTTGCTGCTATGAGTGCATCCAATGTTGCACTTTCAGTTTGCTTGGTTGCCTCTATTCCCATGGTATGCTCTCTCTCTCGCTCTCACTCTCTCAAGCGATCCTTAATTGAGGATGTGCAGGGTACGTGCAGCACATGCAAGAGACAGCAAGTCTAGGCTTGTAGGCTAAACCAAGCAGTCTAAGCCTGCATTCTGTACATGCTAACTAAGACATGCAACCAAAGCATGCAGTTTCTCTCTCCCTCTCGAACAGCCCATCGTATTAATATCACCAAGGTACACACAAGGTAAGGCAACATCTACACACAGCCAAGCTATAGCAGTAATCTACTATCCTAGCACAACTAAAACCGCCCCTTCCCCTTCCGGCCCTAGTAGCCGGAGGGGTCTTCAATCAGTTGGTACGGCTTGCCCTCGCTCAGTGGAGTAAACGGGCCTTGCAGGCCTAACACATCCGCGGTAAGAGCCTCGTGGGTCTTATCCCTGAGGGTGTTGGCTTGGGCTCTCTGCAGGGTCACGCTCCATCACTGCCGGTACTCGGTAAGTAGCTTAGCGACCTCCCTCGACTTTGGAGCAGCGTTGAACCGCCGCTTGCCCGCTAGCTCCGCGCAGCTGCAGAGGAAATCGAGGACTCCAGGTGAGGGGTAGCCGCACGTCTCTACAGCCATGGCGTAAAAGCCCACCCAAGCGCTCCGCCCGGCGTATTTTCTCTCCTTTTTGTCCGCTTGCATCCTTGCTGCCCATCCGGGTGCCTTACGGGCCTGCTCATCCTGGTGGGAGACGGGGTCCGTGACTGTGATGTCACAAATCCATACCTCACCGGTGTCGGGATGGCGGATAGAGATATCCGCTTTGAGGTTTTCGACCGGTGAGTATGCCGTCGTCCCCTTGTGCACTGTGAAGCCTGCTTCAGCTGCTATCTTGGCGCACTCGTCCCGCAGGGCATGGTGAGTGGCAATTCCCCCCCCCCCCCCTTTCTCACACCGCATCAGGTGGTTCGGCAAGCGGTCGTCAGGGAAGGTGGTACGGTATCTGCAGTTGCAGCGTCTTGGCACAGGTAAGGGCAGGCCTAGGCGGAAGGAGGCCGTCGTGGAAAGCTGAGAGGGCCCGAGGCGGAGGGAAGAGATTAAGGGGACAGCGTGCAACCAGTCCCCCGCCCCAGGGCCTAGGAGGGACTGCAGCCTCTGCGTATGGCCGGACAGTGGGTTCAGCTCCATGTCCTGCGAGCTATCCAGTAGCCTAATGTACCGGGCTGTGTGTACCGCGAGGGAGAGTGCCTATTGGAGCTTGGGCCCGTTAGGCTTTTGTCTCCCCACTTGGAGAGCCTCAGTCCCGGCTGGCGGCAGCTCGGCTTCCAAGGCAGCTAGGCGTCTCGGGAGGAGGGAGGTGGACTCCCCGTCAGCATCCATCAGCGGCAGGAGTCCTGTGAGAGCCGGGTTTGCTGAGTCGCCGAAAGAGCGCAGCAGGTGGGCCGCAGAAACGTATGATGCCAGGTAAGCAAATCCCCCCTCCACTGCAGGGTTTGTGATGCCGAGGCCTCCCAGAGACGCGGGCAAGGCGGCCTGCTGCCAGATTCTGTCCCTCTCTGCCCAGTCCTTGGGGATCGTTGTGTGTGTGGCAGCCAGGTAGGTGTGGAGCAGATCTTCCCCCCAAGCGGACCATTCCCCTAGCGGCAGGGCCTCGAGCGGTGTGGCTCTGACCAGGAACGAGGCGCGGCGACTCACATAGCGGGTGAGCAGTAGCAAGCATAGCTGCGGGTCCATCTGTGAGAGGAGCGGTAGCGGCTCGGCTGCTGCAGAAAGGCGTTCGCGCACTCGAGCAGCACAGCCGGTGGGTGGCCCAATGGGGCTGCCTAAGACGCGGACACCGTCCAGGGAGATTTTGATGCCTGGGGGTAAGGTGGCGGGATCCAAGGCGGTGGCGGACCATGCTTCGCACTTCGCCGGGTTTTGAGCCAAGCCGTGGCTGAGGAGGGCCTCTGTGAGGTGAGTGAAGGCCGCCGTGCAGTTCGCCGCCTCGCCTAGCATGGTGATGTCATCTGCGTACGCGAGAAGCACCACCTCCGGATGAGCCGCTGCCGTGGCGACGAGACATGGGTGGATGCTGGTTGCGAATAGCATGGGTCCTAGAGGATCTCCCTGGCGCACGCCTCGAGCGCTCTGAAGTGGCTCTGCTCCAAAGTCATGGTCGAGGTAGAGTGCAGATGAGCGGACGTATGAGAGGCGGACGAGAGGCACGAGGAAGTTGAGGGCGGTGCCTTTCAGTCCCTCGAACACTGCCGCACGCTCAACTGCATGGAAGGCGTTTGCCAGGTCAATCTGCAGAGCCGTCGCTCCTGGGAACTCCTCCAGGTAGGTGCGCGCAGTGTGTATCGCCGCTTCTATGCCTCCGGCGATCACTACTCCAAATTGGAGTGGGATGAAGTGCTCGTGCGCCGCGAGAGCGGCTAGGAAAAGAGCCGCCTTGGCGATGAGGCGTAGCAGACATTCACCCACAGCTATCGGTCTCGTTCCGCCCTGTGGTTTCGAGAAAGCTAGTAGTCGCGACACTGTGAGGAGATCTGCCGCCTCTGCGCTCAGTTTTCCCGCTAGCGCCGTGTTGGTGAGTGCGTGTAGCTGCACTAAGACGTCGGCATTCCCGAGTGCCGCATCTCTCAGGTTCTCTAAGGTGGTTCTTGAGGGCCCGGCTCCTACATCGTTCGGGCATCTAGCTAGCAAACGCATGAAGTCACTGGTTGTGATTGAAGGTACAGTCTCAGAGGCGAAGTCGTGCACCTAGTCCGGTATGGCAAGGGTGGCCTCTGGATGCCTGACCGTGAGTGCACTAAGGACTTCAGCGCTCGGCGTGCAGACGGGCGTGGCAGTCAGGGATTGGAGAGATTTTGCCAGGTTTCCTCTTTTGGCCAACCCCTCGGCCCTCGCCAGCTTGCCCGTGGTGTCAGGTACGTGGCGTGGTTGGGGGTTGTTGGTGACTGCGTCCGTTGCCTCGTCATACAGGTCACGCCACAGGCCTTGGCAAAATCTCGTCAGTTTGTCGCCCATGGCCTTCCAGTCAGGTTTGCGGGCTGACGAGGAGCGCAGCAGGATACGCGGGAGAAACATCAGCAGCTTCCAACCAGGTGACGAGTCAGGATTTTTCGCCAGGTGGAGTAGTGGGGTCAGCAGACAGATTGCGAAGGATTCGCGAAGTGGGCGGGGTGGGTGGCGAGCGAGGGGTGGCTGTCTGCTGTCGCGCAGGGGGCAGAGGTCCCAGTTGGCGATGTCAGCGAAGAGGTCCTGACGGCCGGCCAGGTCGTCAGCGCTGACGATTGGTGCAGGGGTGTCGGGGGTAGTGGTAACCCCAGTGTTGGTGGCGGCTCGGTTTCCCCTCGCGGCCCGAGTTCCCCTCGCGGCCCGATTTCGAGGGGTTCGAATTGCAGATGCGGTTCGGCCCCCAGTTGGAATTTCACCCACTCCTTGGGCTGGGTCAACCTCTTCTTCCCCTGTCGAGGGACTCGAACTCCCCTCCCTTTCGGGGATAAAGGAGGGGTCACCCGCTGAGCCATTCCCTGAATCGTCACCAAGTGTCTCCCCTCCCTCCCTAGCTCTCTGCCGCAGGACCCGCTGTGCTGCTCTAGCGAAGCTACTTGCGCCTCTTCTCTGAGTCGTGGCGCCGCGCCCACGTCCGCTGCGGATGCTGCCTCGTCCCACACGAATTCCCCGCGTTTCTCTTCCTCTTGCCGCCCCCGCGCGCCTTGTTGGAGGATCGGCGGCGACATCGCTCACTCTTTGACGTTGCGCTGGCGTCGGCGGCAGTGGTATCGGGCGTAATGGATCCGACCGCGGGTCACGATCCTGCGTTGGAGGGTACAGCGGAGAGCGTGCAGCAAGAGCAGGAGCCTGCCGTTCCTCGTCCATGTGTCCCCGCGCGCCCCTCCGCAAGTGAGCCCTTCCACCGCTTTGAGCGCGGGCTCTCTCTTCCTCTTCGGGGAGTCCCACGGCCCACCTCGCCGGAGTACTCGTGGGCTTTTGCTCGGGTCGCGTCAAACCGCCTCGCTGGCCAGCCGGATCAGGGGCGCGGACGTTCCCCGCAGCGTCAGACTCCGCTGCAGCGATCTCCTCGTCGCCGTTGTCCTGAGCGACGCGAACCTCCTCGTAACGGAGCAGGCGACCAGCGATCTCCAGCGCGGCATCGCTCCCCCCATCACCACTCTCCTCAGCATCATCCTGTTGGGCGCGGGGGTCAAAATAGGCGTTCGCCGCCAGCGCGATCCCCCGCGCGACGCTCTCCGCGGCGATCTCCGGCGAGGCAGGGGAGGGGATCTCCTGGGCGCCGCTGGGATTCTGCTCGCCGCGAGCCGTCCCCGCCACGTCCGCAGTCGGCTGGATCTGGAGGCCGTCGCGGTTGGCGGAATGGCCCCGGGCGCGGCGGTAACAGCCGCAGTCAGGACTCCGCTGTCGAAGAGGCAATGAACGTTTTGGCAGCGGCGGTGCGGCAGGCGCAGGCAGGAGGGGAGCTGGCTCACGTACACATCGCCGTAACCAAAGGGCCTCCCGTCGCCCCGGCTCCTGACCTGGCGGATCCCATGCGCGCACCGACTTTGAGAGAGTATCTGTCCGCGCGATGAGGGAGGGCGCCGTTCCGCACCCCTCGACAGGCCCCGGGCTTCTCCGCTCCGCAATTCCCGTTTGGCCGTGCCCCTGGCCAGTTGACGGCGTTTCCGCGCGAAGCTCCGACTGCACCTCCCCCCACCCGCGCGGGGAGAGATCCCATGCTGACCATGTGCCGCTTGTTGAATCTTGCGGAGGCGTGCGAGGGGGTGGCGAGTTTGCAGATGTCGGTGTGTGGGGCCATGCGGAACACTCCGAGCAGTTACGCTCCAGGTCCCCGAGGATCATGCGTTTCTTGGGCAGAAGCTCTCGTCCCGCTCTTGGCGCCCGTGTCGGAAGCGCCCGTCGGGGTAGCGTCCTTAGCGCGTACTTTCCCCCGCCACGCGCGCCAAGCAAGACACTATCAAGGATCAACAAAAATCAAGGCAGAGCGTGGAACATATTGTTAGAATCAGGAACGGAGTGGGAAATAAAGAAGGGGTTTTACTAGCAAGCAGTTGAGTACATATAGCAAACCCTAAATTGGGCTGTACTCACTATTGAGTACCCCACTACAGGCTAGACAAATATAACATTCTGACACATGTGCCTGTTCAGGCATCACAAGAAGAAGTTTAAACACAAGTCGGTGCTCAAACTCAGCTCATCGTCAGCCCAAGGCTGTGCTTATCGATCTATTCATCATCATCGCACGATGGCCTCCAAGTCAACGGCCGCTGCTGCTGAAGTCACGGGTGCTCCTACCAAGCACGCTTCCCCAATGACGCCGGTACGCTCGCCGCTGGTGATGGGCCCGCTGGTTGCGTCGCCATCTCTGATCGCCAAGAGGACAATTGGTCCTTTCGAGGAGCTGTTGAACATTGCGCCTTCGAACGCTAAAGCCCTGAAGGACGGGAACAAGGACAATGTCGCGGAAGGTGCTGAGAAGGTTACTACGGAACCTGTTGCTGGAAGCTCAACGCAAGTCGCACCAAAAGCAAAGAGGTGGAGGACGACGGTTACCTGAGTGACAACCCTGATGAGGCAGCGGATCCGACGAAGCTGGATGAACTCGCCTCTCATGCAATGTTCCCGATTACTCTGCTTGTACCTGAAAAATATGTTTCTGAAGTGCCCAGGGTTATGGACAGACTGAAGCAGCTGTTTGTTTTCTGGGAAGACAAGCTTACGAAAGCGGCTGTGACAACAACAACCTTTCGGGAACTACTTCCAACTTACCTGTCAATGAAGCGTTACGGTTGCCTGCATGTTGCCTTCGTTAACGCTGCCGACGCCAAATTTGTCTGGTGTCTGCCGATGAATCACAAGTGTCTGGATAAGATCACCATTACGCTGCGTTGGCAGCATCCGGATAACGCTGTTTATACCAAAGAACGTGCTACTAACCCGGGTCTTATTAAGGTGCTCTTCAGGGGTGTGCCGGCTGATGTCTCACCGGAGATAATAAGGAAGGCGCTGGTTGACGTCGCCTTGGAAAAACGTGGTCGCAGTGCTTTCGCCAAGGGTCTGGCTTTCCACCACGTGCAGAAACCTGTTAATGGGATGAACACGGACAAGGTCAAGGGTCTGGTGTCGACTCACGAGGGTGATTTGTACCGCTGGCGCCATGTGCTGGAAGTCAGTCCTGGGGAGTCCCTGATGGTGCATTACCCGGTGCTCACCTGCTCTCTCTGCAACGGCTAGCACGCGTCAAAGAACCATGCCGCTTATGTGTTAGAGCATAAGGATAACATCAGCAAGTGGAACCTCACACTGAAGGGGGTTCATGAGCTCAACAGTACAAATGCAACTCTATTTCGCTCTGACATTACTGCAATTGTTTCTCAAAACTTACTGCTTGCTGACAATGGAGTTGTGCGCTCGACACACAGCTGCCTCGCTGAAAGCTGCAGGTGCGGTCAAGGACATCCTGCTGGACACGGCTATTGCGCTTATCTCAACAGGAGGGTCGAAGGAGACTTGGGTGTGCGTGCAGGCTGTGTGCGAGAAGGCTCACAGCACGACCTTTGCGCAAGCAACAGCACATGTGAAGTCTTTCAAGCATTTCTCCAGCCTGAACAAAGATGGATCTGCGACACGCAACAGTAGGGGGGCGACAAACCTGTTAGCGATCAAGAAAGAGTTTGAGGTTTAAATGCTTTAGCAGGATGCGATGATCTGTGCATCAGCAGTAGTGATAGAGGGGTGGTCGAAATCAGCGTCTCACCTGCTCCGATAGTTGCTTGTATCTTTACAGCTTGTGGATGCGAGGGGAGTTCTCAGTTGTTGATTAATGGATAAGGCCCACACAGTCACTTTCTGCGAGTTCAACATTAACGGACTCGGCGGCCTGGAAAGACAAAAGTTGTGCAGAGAATGGATGAGGGAGAAAGCAGACGTGGCAATAATCACAGACACCAGGATCCAAGCAGACCATAACTTCTGGACTCAATTTAATACAAGTGCATGTTAGAATACTGAACGAAAAATGAATGAACTAGCAAAGAGTTGGGTACAAGTACTAACCCTAATTGTGTTGTACCCCTTATGGGCTAACCCACTACAGCCTACACAATGTAAGCTAGATATGAGTTTGACACACCCCCATAGGCAAAGTGGGGGAGAACAAGGGTCACAAGACCAGTCAAGAAAAGCAAAGCAAACTCAGGGTGGATCACAAAGTCACCACACAATCCAAGCACAAGCAAAGGCCACAAGGCCAGTTCACATATAGAGTTATATAGAAGAGAACAAACAGTACAGTGATCATACCCTAGCAAGTGTAAGCATGCAGGTATATATATATGTATATATCACAGTACAAGCAAGTCAAGCAGTGAGCAAGTGAGGCAAAGTAGGCACAAGGCCTAGAACTGTACAGAAACGCTGATGATCACCAGACTGAAGTGCCTTGGTGAATATATCAGCAGTGTTGGCCCTAGTGGCCACGTAAGCAAGACGAAGTTGACCACGCTGCTGCAACTCTCGAGCAAGGAAGTAACGCAGAGCGATGTGCTTCGTTCTGTGCTCCAGTCTGTGCTCCTGGCACAAGGCAATCATTGCCTTGTTTTCTACGTACAGAACTGGAGAAGAACGAGGCCGCTCTCCCAGGTCGGTCCGCAGGTAGGTCAGCCAATGTAGCTCCTGTGCAGCCATGGCCCCTGCGTAGATCTCAGCCTCACAACTGGAACTGAGAACAGAAGAAGAGCGGGTAGACCGCCAAGAAACAGAGCCAGAGCCAAGGCTGAAAGTGTAACATTGTGACAACCACTGCGTAGCCAAGTTGTCAACCCAAGAAGCGTCCTCATGGCCAGTGAGGACAACTGGACCCCATCCTCCAAGCACGAGCCCCATGCCCGACGTACTGCACAAGTAGCGCAACACCCTCTTAGCGGCCTCCCAGTGCTCTGGTCGGTGTCTCCCGGGCGCAACGTAGCGTGCCAGGATGCTAAGAGGGTAGGCAAGGTCAGGTCGAGTGCAGGTCATCAGGTACATGAGGTAGCCCACAAGCTCTGGAAATGGGCCACTCGGCTCTACGGACTCGTCCGAAGGTAGAGATGAGAGTGAGTGACTGGTAGGTGGAGGAGTGGACTGGGGCGAGGAGTACCGGAAGCCGAAGCGCTGAAGGACCTGGTGCACCATGTGTGACTGAGTCAGGGTAATGGTGCGCCGTGCTCTGTCCCGGGTGATTTGCAAGCCAAGATAGCTGCGCAATTCACCCAAGTCAGTGCAAGTATGTCTCTTCTGCAGCTCCGACTTCACAAGGGCCAGTGCCTCAGTGTCAGTAGTGGCAAAGACCAAGTCGTCGACGTACACGGGGACATAGAACGGCGACAGCGAGGTGTCGGTGCGAAGAAAAAACGACGGGTCAGCAGTCGAAGGAGCGAACCCAAGAGCCGCAAGTGTAGTCCTCAGTGTGTCGTGCCACTCGCGAGGCGCCTGGAGAAGACCGTAGACTGGCCGCCGGAGGCTCCACTGGGTACCTGCAGGAAACGACCCAGTGAAGCCAGGTGGGCGGCGCAGCCAGATCTCCTCGTGCAGGCTGCTCTGCAGAAAAGCTGTGCTGAAGTCCAGGGAGTGAAGCTTGTAGTCACGCTGAGCTGTGACGTGCAGCAACACCCGAAGAGTGGTCATCTTCGGGGTAGGGAAGAAGGTCTGGAAGAAGTCAACTCCCTATCGCTGGCTGAAGCCTCGTACAACGTAACGATCCTTGAAGGCAGGCGGAGAACCCGGCGGCCGCTTCACCCTGAAAATCCACATGCCATCGACTATGTTCGCCCCAGACGGGGGAACTGCGACGACGTAGGTGCCTGTGGACTTCCAGGATGCCATCTCTGCGTCCATGGCTGTCTGCCACTGATAGGATTAGGGACCCGTAATCGCCTCTGCGTAAGAACGCGGGGTCGGGATGTCTGGTGCATCCTGTCAAACTTATATTCCATAGTCTGTTTAGGCTGTAGTGGGGTAGTTCTTACAGGGTACAACACTTTTAGGTTTCCCATATGTACCCACCTGCTTTCTAGTTCCATCATTCATTCGCTCACATTCTCACATGGTATTCTGAGCAGGTTCCCTAGTGGGAACGTTTTTTAAGGGCCCACCACTATACTTTTTTTTCCTGCCCTGCCCGAAGCGCACATCGCGCCTTCCCTGTCGCGGCCCCTAGCCCGTCGTGGCCCCTAGCCCGTCGCGGCCCCCAACAACTGGCGCGCCCCTGCCGGCCCCTGCTGACGCGCCCCTGCTTACGCGCCCCTGCCGGCCCTTGCTGACGCGCCCCTGCTGGCGCGCCCCTGCCGGCCCCTGCTGACGTGCCCCTGCGCGCCCCTGCTGACGCGCCCCTGCTGGCGCGCCCCTACCGGCCCCTGCTGACGCGCCCCTGCCGGCCCCTGCTGACGCGCCCCTACTGGCGCACCCCTGCCGACCCCTGCTAACGTGCCCCTGCTGGCGCGCCCCTGCCGGCCCCTGCTAACGCGCCCCTGCCGGCCCCTGCTGGCGCGCCCCTGCCGGCCCCTGCTGACGTGCCCCTGCTGACGCGCCCCTGCGCGCCCCTGCTGACGCGCCCCTGCTGGCGCGCCCCTGCCGGCCCCTGCTGACGCGCCCCTGCCGGCCCCTACTGACGCGCCCCTGCCGGCCCCTGCCGACGCGCCCTTGCCGGCCCCTGCCGACGCGCCCCTGCTGGCGCGCCCCTGCCGGCCCCTGCTGACGCGCCCCTGCCGGCCCCTGCTGGCGCGGCCCCTGCTGGCGCGCCCTCCTACTGGCGCGGCCCCTGCAGTCACTGCCCCCCCCCCTGCCGTCGCCACCCCTGCACC